GATCCAACGCGGATTAATTTGACCCGAGACTGTGTGATTATGACCAATCTTTAATGCTGCATCTCGAGAGATCGAATTTTTACAATGTCGAATCAAATGTGTATACAGTAATATAAATTTCTCTCTTCTTCGAACGAATTAGATTAAAGTTTTTTAATTTAAATATAAAAATTATAAAGGAATAGGTATTTATTACGTTATTTGTTGAATTGAAGAGTCAATTTCAAGGGATATGTAAATTCGAATTTAAAGAATTCTAGAGGAAGATCGAGATTTGAGATTTGAGGTCCAAATTAAATAAGTTTTTTTAAGTTTTTTCGCTTCGGTATTCGAAAATATTGATTAATTATATTTAAATATAAACAGTTGGATTAAAATTGGTCGTTCAAAAGTTATTTTATATTATAATAAAAATAAAACATTAAACTTACGTTTCCACAAATTTTATTTCTATAATCAATGAAGCTCCTTTTTTCGAAAATTCTCTGTTGAAAATATTATTTATTTCCTTCGGATCCCATCGACATTTTTTTCGAGATATCTTTTTTTATCTCTCTTATCTATTGGTATCTAAACGTATTCGTTTGACACTAAGAAAAAAAAAAAAAAAAAAAGAACCGATATTTGTGATTATTTCAATATATTAAGGAAGCAGATAAAACGTTTCGCGTGCGCTGTTTATCAATATTATACTTATTAAATAGCATTACCCAACAATTTGTGCGAGCCAACTTTAACAGGTAGCTAAGTTCTTTCCTATGTTCCATATCCAGGATTATTAATAGTGCATTAAAAAAATATTGAAATAAATAAAATCTCTAAACCTTGAAAAAAAAAAAAAAAGTATCGCCAATCACTACTCGCTTCGAACAATCTTCAAAATTTCATTTGAAAAAATTAAATTCTCAAGATATACGATTATAAAACGAAATATACAATTATATTCGAGACATCGATATACGATCGTTTCGAAGACTCTTTTCAAAATTTTTAAAAAAAACTCGAGACAAGATTAAAAAGCATCCCCCCCCAAATCCAAAATTTTCGATCGAAATTTATTCAGAGAGGCGGATAAAGGGTAAGCGAGAATGATCGAGAAAAAAAAAAAAAAAAAAAAGGAAAAAGAAAACTGGAGATCACTGGAGGGGGAGGGGGAAGGCGGCACTCGAGTGAAAGTGCAAGGATAGACGCTCGTTAGAACTGGATACTGTTAGTTAACGTGGCCAATAAGATGCAGGGCCGCCGCTCATCAACCATTATTTATCGCGTGCAATTGCGAAAAATAGCTGCATCGATGCGCTTGGCTCCTCCGTATCTGCGTTTCAATTTCGTATTACGCAGCTCTATCGCTCTGTTTTGTGCGTTTCTATTAAAAAAAAAAAAAAAACGATCCCGATTCCGTTCCGCTACTCGGAATCCGTGTGCAGCCTTACGCCCGATTTACACCAACGTACGAAAGAAGCGGTCGAGATCCTGTTTTTGATCGTGGTTTTTATCGATTCTTGACAATAAAATTTTTTTAATAAATAAATTAAACTTGCATAACGCAAGTTTAAATCAAGATATAGATCAAGATGTCTGCTCGTTCAAATATCTCTTGTATTATTTTTATGGAAATGTATAACTTCTCTCAGAATTTCTTTTAGAGTTTCGAGACGTTCGGTAAGAAGATATATTTTAATTGTTAGAAGGGAAAGATTATTCATTGGAACAGGAGGTGTATATTTGTTGTTGTTCTAATTAGAAAGAATAATAGATGGTTTACATATTATCACAATCGGAGGATTTATATTGGTAAACGTTCGTTTGTGAATCGGGCTTTACGATTACCAAAGATGCTTCCGTATTTTAGAAAATATTTAAGATTTATTCGTTCCTTAACTTCCAGGCTAAACATACGTTTATTTCTTCCATGCTTTCCAGAATTTCTTAAAATTGTGCCTATTTCTTTACGTACTTCCACTGAATTAATCCTTTTAAAAATAATAAACAAAATAAAATGTGTAATTTAAATTTATTGATAATGCAAATTGAACGCGATACTGTTGAGTGATCGTTATTTAAAAAAAAAATATGAATGCATGGATAATTGAATTGATTAATACGACGTTTCAATACAGAAGTAACAATCGTTTATCTTCAATCACGATTTTTTATACGCTTAAAAACTGGAAAGTAATACTTCTTCTTAAACACCGTTCATTTTCTTTTCATTATTGGAAATTAATTTCGTACGAATTTCTAAATTTTTTTCTTTTTTTTCTTATAATTCTTTAACAACAACAACAGCAACAACAACAACAACGTAGTCTCCAACGTTCGCGCTTGTGAACAAGAATAGTGGTGGAGGAGCGGCGAAGAAAAGACGCTCGTGATAACGATAAACGTATCAGCTCGTTCCCCTTTTCCCTTTTGCTGCAAACAGCTTTCCATTGTCGGTTGATCGCATAATGCACGGCTTTCCATTTACCACATCTTTCAAAATATTCCGCAAAATATATAACTTTTCGTTTAAATTAAATCATTCTTTCATTCTTTGAAAATTCTTTAATCATCGATCAAACATCACAATTTTATCCATCGATCGAAACCTTACGATTCTCTTTTCAACGAAAGAAATGAAAATAGAAAAGAGAGGGAAAAGAAAAAGAAAGAAAGAAAAATTCACTTATCTACACTCAGGTCCGATCGTTAATATTAATGCATCTATTCTCGAGAATGACAAAGTAAGATAATGGAGTCGCTGAAATGTCCTCGAACCGGAGGAACCCTCTCGCGGAAACGAATCTATTCTATCGATTCTCTAATCCATGCAAATTCTATGCGAAACGAAGGCAAACATATTTGTCATCTTATCAATGATAATAAGTATGTGTCTGCTGTCTCGGTAATTGTCCCGAGCATGGAATTTTCCTTGGACGTAACAAAAAAAAAAAAAAAGAAAGAAAAAAAAAGAAAAATCATTTTTCTTTTTTTTATAACGAACCACGATTAACGAAATAAGAAAGTTCGTTAAAATGTAGACGGATGCGTAAAAACAATTTACCTGTAATTGTAATATAATTCCTTTTTTTTTTTTTTTAAACAAGAAACAAGATTATGAATTATATTTGAAGGATATTTTGAAAGATGAAATTATTTGTTTCTATATATTATGTTTTCATATTTTGATGATTAATAATGGAAAAAAAGGATCGACGTCAATAATGATCGATTATCGATCATCTGTTTCCTACGCCCCTCGAGTCAATCGCGCATGTATCTTTCGATTGGGATGAAAAAGGGTCCGCCGGATTTCATCACCCTCGACCTCCCATGGCGCACATTGGACGGGATGGAAGCCTGCCCGACCAATGAACCAATTCAACGAAATTCTTCCCTTGCTGGGAAGAAGTAACAGGTGATTCGATGGCGGACAAATCGAGCCATCTTGCCGTTCCATTTCAAGCACAATCTTCTTTGAGTTCGCGATTGAATGAAAATGAAAATTAATTGTTAATTATGCTCGACTTCTCCGCTTCTTCTTTCGCGAAAAAATTGAAAAATTATTATTGGCGAAGAAGAAAAGAAAAAAAAAAAGAAAAAAAAAGAAAAGGAAAGGAAAGGAAGGAATTCGAAAACTCGAAGAGAAACGAAAATTGTCGACGATCGAGTTTAAGATCGGTGGAAAAAAATCGATGGTCACGTTTTTTCGCAAATTGCGCAAAAAAAAAAAAACGATAAAATGTCTTTCCTTAGCTCGCAATCAGTATCGAGCAATAAAGCGTCAAAGGAGTGATAGCCGCTAATAGACACGTTAACATCTTTATTCCATTCGTGGCACACCGTTTCCTAAAGCATTTTCACTTACGTTCTAATGTAAATTGACTTTAATAAGCTTTCGTTGCGCTGGTTTCTAAAACGGGATTATCGTATACGTAATATCGTGGAAAATAAGCGAAGAAATTGAATAAATCTAGGAATTTGCCAATCACGTTAACCAATGTAAAAAAAAAAATATACCTCATCCACGATCTTCTTCTCCAATTGTTGTAATTGAAGAAGACGTGTATATATAGTTGATAAAATATAAATTTTAATCAAAGACGAAACGTGTGTGTTGTTTTTGAACAATTGTTCCGAGGTATTTTTTGTGTTTTCTTTTTTTTATGAAATTATACAAAGACACACAAATATGATGAGAAAGATTTTATTATATTTATAATGCTATTCCAATTTTCAAATCGATAACTCGTTTAGTTTGTCACCCGGGCTTGAATAAATTTACACAAAGATCATTTTTCCCGCGGACGTTCGCAACTGCGACGTCAATTTCCACCGATCGATAATCCATCAAAACGTTACGAATGTTAGTCCATTCAAGCATGAATTTTCTTTTTTCCTTACGTTGCCAATATATTTTTCGTATCAAATCATCATCAATCCAAAAAAGAAAAAAAAAAAAATAACAGATCAAATCGATCAAATTGGAATCATCAACGAAGACACATCTTGCAAATGAAATTTCATCCTAAATATCGAAGTTAATATATTACTTCCTTCCACGATCCTTAAATTCTTAACAGTCTTAAACCTACCGACATTTCCGTGTATACCTATTCTTTCAAATGACCGCTGGCAAAAAAACATTTGTATCTTAATATAGAAAGAGATTTTTGGATTCGTAAAGTAAACAATACAGGAAATTGTGAATATTGAAAAATGGGTTGTATCCACATTATAGAAAAAGTCAATAAGTCATATGGCGATACAGTAACTTTGTATACAAGAAATTCTAAACGAAATTTCAAGAAACGGTCATTTGATCGCGCCGTGGTAAAGGGTTAGCGTTAAATTCTTTTCTAAAATCCATCCTTCCTTTTCCAATACCTGTCCAAACGAAAGAAATGAAACGTAAGAGGAAGGGAAAACGAAACAGTATCACAATCTACCGCAATCTTCGATACGCGCTCTCTCTCAAAACAAAAACAAACGTCAACAACGAACTCGTGAAGTCGAACTCGTCCGAAATTGATCTCGACAACGATGCACTTTCCCTTTTGGTAAAAATTACCGGTCGGTAATTTTTCAACGCGCGACAAGTGGGATCCGCCAACGCGCTTGCACACGACGCGTGCACACGTATATGCACAGGTGGCCTTCCATTGGCCCGCTTCCCGGAGACATTTTCATCTGCGGTGAACAGCGAAGATCGTTGACCGTTACAGGGAGATACCGATTAAAAAGTGAACGAACGTGAGGAGGGAGGGAGAAGGACGGAGAGACGTGGAAGAGGCGAAGGAGGGAGAGAGAGAGAGAGAGAGAGAGAGAAAGAGAAAGGTAACGCAACGTAATGGAAATGTGGATATGCGGTTGGCGCGTGCGCCTGCAGTAGGGCAGGGCAAGACGACAGCTGTTTCAGTCCTGAGGCAACATCAGTGTTGCACCTGCCTACTTGCTTGCTTGCTTGCTTGCCTGCCTGCTTGCCTGCCTGCTTGCTTGCTTGCTTGCTTCCTCGCTTGTCTGACTGCTTGCCCGCTTGCCTGCCTGCCCGCCTGCTAGCTCGCTCGCTTCCTTGCTACCTCGCTCGCCTGCTTGCCACATAACCTATAACCACTTTTAGCAGACTCTTCGTCTCTTATTAGGTTCACTGATCTCCTCCATTTCTTTCCTTCTCTTCTTCTTTGCTTTAATAGCGTTTGAAAAGAGGGAGATGTGGATGAGAGATTGTGCGGACGGATTGCTCTTTTTCTTTCTTTTTTCGAACGGTCCATGGATGGTGGTTTTTTTGGGTTTGAAGTTGCGGAGACTGAAGTGGTTTCTTGGATCGTGATCGAGGCAGGGAGGAAGAAAGAAGATACTCGATTGAGACACGATTTTGAAATTCAAGAATTCTTTAGGATTCTTTTCTTCGGTTATTCCTTTAAACGGAGATTTATAAGTGAAATTGCAAGACGTTTGAAGAGGTTTGTGGAATCTCTTTCTGCTCGAAATTAGGCTCGTGATCCTCCAATTATACCGCGGCTCATAGACCGTATATAATTTGAAATAGCCGGCATGCTTCGGATACACGTTTCGGGCGTAATAAATTTCGTCCAGGTACAGTCTTTATGCAGTAAGACGGGCCTGGTAGCACGTGTTAAGAAGTTTAACGCTTTATTTTCGGTTGCTGTATGCATAGTTGGGTGACGCCTAATGTATCGGACGTATCGGCGCCCGCATAAGCAAGCGTGGCACGCGTCACGACGCCTCGTCGCCGATAAACAAGGCGCTGGAAACCAAAGGTAACGGGATTTAAAGACCTCTCTCTTCTTTCCCTCCCTCTTGCTCTCCTAACATTTCATTTTCCCTCAAATCTCAAGTATTTTATTTTGTTTTGTTTTATTTCAGAAGAATTTTTATATCCCTCTTCGAAAGATGAGATGTCTGTTCGCCGAGAGAAAATAAGCAAAGTTGTCGATGTCCGTCTTTGGCATTACCTGTTCCACTTTTTGGAACAGTTTTCATCTCACTTTGTTTAGAATTGGATTTATTTTTATTATTCGAATGAAATGAAATTTATGATCTGGTGCAAATTAATAATAATAATAATAATCTATAAAACTTTTTTGGTTTCAAAAAAAAAGAAAGATCAAAGTGTTTAAAAAGTAATGGTTTTCTTTAAGACCATGCTTGAATTAAACGAAATGCAAATTATTAATGATAATAATAATATTATCATGGAATGAAAAAGAAGGAAAGATTGGAATGGAAATTTGAACGATTGATCTGATTTCACAGCGTTCGAGTCTATGAAGGTATCGATCGTGCATATCGATCGATAGATCCCAATTCATGTGGCAATAAGAGTGGCGACTTAGAAGGCAATCGCTGTCACTGCAGGCCTACTTCATGACGGAAGTTTCTTGGCCAATCAATCCGTCGATTCTTGGTCAACAGGTCACTCGGATCAAATGGAAGAGAAAATTAATGTTGCCCACCAACATGGAATGGCCTCTGCTTTTCGTTTACTCCCCCGACGAATCATCCTTCGATTCGATTTAAAATACCAGAAATTGTATTCAAAATTACGTCACTTTTCCCCAATTTCTCTCTCCCCTCTTCTCTCAAACTTGAAATATTCCATCTAGCATTTTTCCATTCCCTTAATAATAAAGATAGATTAAAATTCTACGTGTCTATAAATTCAATAAATTTTAGGGAGTTTTAATTTCAAAGAAATTGATTTTTCATCTCTCTGAAAGGAAAAAAACAATAATTTCTACTTTCAACAAATCAACAACGAAATTGTCGGGCAAAATTCTTCGCTTCCCCTTAATCCAAAATCTACAGACGAGTTTATCGAATGGGAGAAGTTGTCGTCGTACTACTCGCGATCGAAGTCACGCTAAAAATCACGTTTAATTCGCACCTTCGTTGCTTATTAAATCCCGATCTAATCGCACAGATTACGATAACAAATTTTAAGTAAGAATTTTCTCGTATTATCGTCCAGATGTGTCGTACAGGCTTGGTGTTTAGACCTAACTATAACGGCTCTTTCTCCTTACAAAAAGCGAGCGATTCGTTCCTTTCGGATTCTGTCAACTGCGATTTTTAAAAGAGAAAAAATTCGGAAAATTTAAATGCGAAGGAATTTACTTTACAGGATAAATAGTTTATTGGAGAATATTTCTTATATTTTATAATTTAGAGGACGAGTGAGATTATAGAATAGGATTTTTCAAAATTTAAGGAAATGAATTTTAACACGATCGTTACGATATAAATAATTATACAATAATCCTTGAAAAATGATATAGGAAAAAAGGAATATTTTATCACGAATTCCATTCCAAAAGGAGGGCAACATCGCGTTGCAAAATCTTGATCATTCCATGCTTAATCAATTGGACTAATGAACTGTCTCGACTTGATAAATAACCACGCTAAATGTTTCAATGAGAGAATTTCGACAAAGATGACCGAGATGATCTAATGGTAATTGATTAAAAATTATACTTTTAATAGAAACATAAAGGAGAAAAAAAATTTGCGATCAATTAATCGTCCGATAATCAAGTCATTTTGAAAAGATAAATTGATTAAATTATCGTGAGGGAGTAATAACGTGAGTGAAAATAAGACAGGAATAGGAATAGAAGAAGAAAGAGAAAGAGAGAGAGAGAGAGAGAAAAGAAGTTCCAATTTTTTTCTTTTTTCCTCTTTTTCAAAAAGGTATAATTATTCTTTTTGCGAATGAACGAACGAAGCTGCGCCCACAACGAACAGGCGATGACAGATGTTGCAGCCGCATTAGATAATTAATCTGATGGGAGGGAGGGAAGGATACGCCGAATGACGGGGCGTGGAGGGACGATTATCGAGCTCGTTTAGTTTTATTAGATGCCTAACCTCTCCACTTCTTGCTGCCCTTTTTCACCCCCGTGATTTCTATCTGGTCTGGATCAACGGATATCTAAATCTATATATATATATATAGTGAGACATAGAGATCCTGTGAAAGGTAAACTTTGCTTCTTTCCATTGTAAGAGTTGAAACGAGATGGAATCTCTTTGAAACAGAATTGATTTTCTTTTTCTTTTGTTGTTGTAAAATTTTATGCTCGATTCTTGTTTATGCTCGTTTTTAAGGAAAACAGATATATTGATATTGCTTGGACGATAATTGATGATCGAGGAAAAATTTGTCCAGGTCGAACGAAAAATTTATTTTTGTCCGATTGAAAGAAAAAATTTGGTGCCTCAATTCGCACCAAATTACCCAATATACTCCCCAAACTCGTCCAAACTCATTCCACTTTTGTTTCAGCAACAACGATCCCGCAAACTTCCTTCTGAGATCGATTCCAGGAAAGCCAATTAGAGGAAGAAGTCGGTGATCGATCAGCACGTGAAGAGGGTGAAAGTAAAAAGAAAAAAGGAAAGAGAGAGAGAGAGAGAGAGAGAGAGAAGATAAAGCCTGATTCAGATTAGTCAATTGGATCAATGTGAATTTATTATTGAAAATTTAACTTGAAAAAAACTTGTCGACTTTATATCACTTAAAATAATTTCAATTCAAGTAACGTGATTTTGAAAATAATGAATCTTCTTTGAAGTATAGTGAAAAAATATCTCATGCTTTCAATATTTTCAATTATCTGTGATGGGATATCTTTCAATTCATCTTAAAAGATCGAAATATATTACAACACACACCAAGTTGCATCACTAAATATCTAATTTATTTTTTTAGTTTTGCTTGTTTTGCGTCACTTTACGCGTTTAACCGTCGAGATAATCCTGTTATTATTGTGTGTTTTATTAAATTATAAAATTGTTCCTGCACAACTTTGGAATTATTATTATTTTTTTTTTATTCTAAAAAGATTTGAAAAATAATGATTTAAAATATAAAAACCTAAACCCGAAACACCACCGATACGATATCAGCAGACACGAAAATTGGAAATTACGTAAAGCAGCGAATTCCTTTCGAGTCAAGTAACAATAAGCTTCAATTTCCTTGGAAATTGAAACTCTGATAAAATAACGGTACGAATTACCATGGAATGTTTTTTAAATAAATTATTTAACGACAATTGACAAAAGTGGAAAAGACGCCTCGAGTTAACTAAATAACAGGCTCATAATAAAACTAAAGTATTAAATTACATAACTGAAAATACTGAAAAGATCTTTCCAATTAAATAGATAAGAAAACGGGTTTCAATTTATCCATTACAAAAATTTAAAAATAGATACACATATAAAAATAAATAAATGAAACACATGTGATTACGTTCAGAAAAAAATTCTTACTTGTTAATTAAATGGATCCAACACCTTGAAAAATACTTATACAAATTCATCCCAATTCAATAATAAAAAAAAAAAAATCTCCAACTTAAACTCAGATTCAGATAACTCGACCAATCCCATACACGAGGCGTACGTAATAAAGGGAGAGAAACAGAGAAGAAAAGGACAGAGTCAAGTCCACCCACGCTTGATACAGGGGGAGAAGGATAAACAAGCGATCTCCCCCTCGACTCGAAAAAGTTCCTCGGCCGGTTTCACGGCTCCCCTATCCTCCCCTCCCTCCACTCGGTTCGACCGGGCTAAAAAGTGGAAGGGCCGTTTGGTAGCGTGGTGCCACGCACCCTGACATTATCTGCCCGGTTTATTATATAGGTACCTGGTGGCACGCGCCGGCCCCGGCAACAGCTGCTCTCGCGGCGAGCACCGGAGGTGGATGAATAAAGTGAGAGGCACACCTTGCTGCAGACGCGTGCCGCCAGCCTTCAAGATGTGAATACCGAGATCCTTCTTGTGTCTGGCCGTTGCCCTCCATCTCGAAGAGAGACAAATTTCGCTCAGGAAATATTCCGATCCAAATGACCATTTTACTCTTTCCACGAATCTTTTTACTCGAAGAGTTGAGTTTTTCGTTCAAATCGAATCGTACGAAAATCGTTTATTCTTATTTTTCAAGAGAAATTGATTATGGGGATAAATTTGGATTTTTCTGTGTGCGAATTTTAGTTCTCAGATTTCAATAGTTTGAGTTAATTTTGACGCCAGTTTTGATTTATCGTTTCCTTGGTATAGAGTTTATTAACGTGAGAAACCTTGTTATCTGTCTTGATTTATCTTCAAAGGTCCATTGTATCGAATCTTGATCTTTTTGTAACTCACATAGCAACGTATGTAATATTTCCTGTTGAGTTTAAAATTAAATTATCATCCTTATCCAAGTTTCTCCTCTCCAAGATCCAGAGAATCCTATACTTATTTCGAATACTCTTAGCATCGTTAAAATGTTAAAAATCAAAAATAAAAAAAAACCACATCGAAATTTACGACTGGACCACCATCATTGGATCAAACCTAACCTCAAATCTCCACTACGAATCTCGTTATACGACATGGACTCAACTTGCAGCGAAACTAACCTAACCTCCTCTTAAGAATCTTCCACGAGAAACCTATACTTATTTCGAGTACTCATCGTTAAAAATGTTAAAACTGTACAAAAAGAAAAACCACATCGAAATTTACGATTATCATCATCGTTTGGCCAAACTTAACCTCAAAACCTTTACTGTAGATTATGGCTGGTGCGGTATGGACTCGGCCGTCCTTTAAACTCACGCACTTCGTGCGTGAAAGTAAAAGTGAAAAATTGCTTGAAAAATATCTGCGGACGTATCTGGGTTAAGAGGTAACGCCGTTGGACGAGGTAAGTTTCGTTGCTTTGTCGGTTTGTGTCTCGGTTCGAGGGATAAAAAAAAGTTTTATGCCAGAATCTTCATCCGAGATGGAGAGCATTGTTTGGCCCCGGGTAGCAGGTGCTACTACCCTTCATGCAACGGGATGAATGCCGCGACTTCTCTCGAACACACTCGCAAACACACAGGTCCCGCATCTGCAAGATGCTCGCCTCGATCCTCGCCTCTCCTCCACCGCTCTCACATCTCTTCAGAGCATTTTTAACGAGCGTGTTTATTGTCCTTTGTTTGATATTGCGTTTGCATAGCAAGAAATGGACGACAGTCCGCGAATTATCTTTTAATCGAATTTCAAAAATTTCAAAAAGGAGGATAACAGGTTGAGAGAATTTTTATCTAATTTATGATATCAGAGGTATTATTTTTTCTTAATCGAATTCCAAAAATTCATTCATCTTGGGAAGAAGAGATCGGTAGATTAATAATTTAATACGTTAAACAATTACTCTATCTTTATAGTTTATCTATCATACGTGCACATACACACACACGCACAAGGGAATTAAAAACACTTAAACGCATTAATATTAATACGAGATTAATCGAGAAGATTACTCGACATAGATCATCTAAGAACATAACCTAACTTAATCTAACCTAGTTAATTAAATGCCACTTTAAATCCTCCTTACCATACCGCGCTATTAAAAAGATCCTTTCCTTCGAACTCGATATATCTAACGAGAAAAAAGAAGAAGAAGAAGAAGAAGAACAATAAAGGAATATCGATCGACCTTTCGAACCGTGGCAATCGAGCCGCAAAACAACGAGATCTCGCGCCACGGAGATAAGATCTGATCTGCGACAGTGGCGCTACCTGGATCGTCCGTTTAAATTCATGGATGTCACCTGCTGCTGGTGGACGAAGGAAGGAGGCCAATGGCAGTGGCTTTTTATCCGTGCCGCGGCGATACGCGACACACAGATGCGTATCGACATCCGACGACAGGGTGCCTCGGTACCGCCTCGAATTTCCCTGAGAACCGTTCATCATCCACTCGTAATCACACGTTCTCGATCGTGATAATGTTGCACAATGTAGCCGCCGCCGGTCTAATTAAGACAATCATCTGTGACAAGTTTTAAAACGCACCGATCGTGGCGTTCTCCTTTTTTAATGCTGATTATATATATATATATATATACGTCCCTTGATTTCGATACGATATTTTCGGACTCTTAAAGGGTGTGAACGATTATTACTCGAAGACCAGTGCCTCTCAATATTTTTCCATCCCTCGAATTTATTTTCAAATTGAATTCGAAGCAATTTAATTCAAGAAATTTGCCATTTTGTATACTTTCTTTTTTCTATATATGTTTGCAATATATTTGTAACGAAGGGAAGAGAATTATTTGTATCTTCGATTGTATCGAAGGTTGAGAATCACTGTTTTAGAGTCGTAGAACGAAATTAGATAGATAGATGGTTTAGGTAAGAAAGAAGGCGTGAGCTACAAAATATTAATTAATTTTATCATTTCATCCTGACGCATTAATAAAGGGGCGAAATTTGAATTGAAGTTTATTTAAAAAAAAAACTGAAACTTTTTAATCTTCCAAGTAAATTCCAAGATTTAATTTAAAATCTTTCTTCCGTGAAAAATTGGGAGAAAGATCGTATTTAAATATTAGATAAATTGTATCTTGGCATACATACATACATACATACATACATACATACATACGTATGTACACGTTCGTACATCTTTGGGACCGACAATAACCTACTGATCGAAGGCAGCTGGACCTTCCTCGAGTCATCTGCTTGTGTAGCTCGCGATGCGATAACTATTCCCCCTTCTCGCCACGACTGCATTAATGGATATTTATTATCGTCATCGAAGGTGGGCAGCCAGAAGACAGCTGGAGAGGAGAGGCGATCAACGTTGGATGATGCGAAACAACGAGATAAATTCTTTCTAAAACTCATCTCGAGCTTTTTATTTCACAGCTATTCTAATCATCCTATTATTTTGAAACTTAAGAAGTAAGCGGCTTTTCTTTTCTCAACGATATACTCAATTCATTCCAATCCCAATTTCCTTTACTCTTTTCAAACGATCAATATTTTCCTTCTGTCATTTTAAACGTTCGTTACAAATAAAAAAAAAATATATTTCAACAAGAATCGTCACACACACAAAAAAATATATATATATATAAATCAAAAAGAAAGAAAGAAAAAATAATTATCAAAAACGTGTTATGCAACCGTGCACGATTTCGATTACCTCACATCGAGCAATTAATACACCTCTCTGCTGACCAGATAGAACGCAAATATTTGACGCAGCTAAAGTGTGCAATTCCATCCGGGGGTTTCTGTGTCGCTATGGTGGTTTCGGCACGCGCGTGCCACTCGGCCCACCGAACAGTGTGGGAAGAGTACACAGGCGCGCGCGTGTAAATATACACACGGAGAGAGAGAGAGAGAGAGAGAGAGAGAGAGAAAAGGAAGAAGGAAGATAGGAGAGATGATGGTATTATGCGATCCGGAAAGGCGGGAAATGTTCATCGTGTTAATAATATCGGTGATCGGATAGGAAATTGTATAGGGATGTTTAACGAGGGGCGGTTGGAAAATGCCACGCTGTTAAAATGTCAGAACAGCATCCCTCCAATAGGATGTTACCCACTCTGGCGCCGACCTATTGTCGATGTATAGTTCA